GCGTGGGAGTAGAGGAGCCCGATCACGATGTCCGTGAAGATCCGCCCGAGCGCCGCCTGAGCAGGGCGCGGCCGCTGAGGCGGGCTGCCCTTCTGGCGGGGCGCGGGCGGGCCGCTCGCCTCGTCAGTGGCTGCTCCGCGATCGACGACAAACCACCAATCCGCGGCGGGGTCGGCGGGGTCGCCCACCGCCTCGGTCACCAGATAGTGCCAAGGCATGCCCTCCACGACCGCAGTCTGCGCAAAGAAGAGCTTTGGCACGCCGGGCGGCAGGTGCTCGCGGGCGCAGTCGTTGAGCCGGCGGAGCGCCGCCTCCTCCGCGTCGCCCATGCGCGAGCCGTCCGGGTGGGGGTCATTCGGCTGCACCTGAAGGGGCAGGGCGCGCGAGCGAATCGGCGAACCGGCCGCTGTCCTGCGCTGCCAGCCTCTCGCGGAGCCGAGCACTTTGACAGCAACGCGCTCTCCGGTGGCCCGCAGCCGACCGAAGAAGATTGATGCGTACCCACCGTGCGGGACATTGTCCGGAATCTGGTCGAGATCGACCCCGCAGTCGGGCAACGCACGGATGGCGGCCAAGGCGGTCGTCGGCATATATATATTTGTGTGTCCGTAAGACGGGCGCGTCATGAACAGGGAAGGGGGGGGGGGGCGCGTCATGAACAGGTAGGGAGGGGGCGTGTCGGTGGAAACATCGGCCAGGAGCGGGAGCGCCAGAGAGAAGGCAAAAGGCATGACAAGCAAAGACTCTCTCTAACGCCGCGGTCAAAAGAGACCGACGGACCTTGAATTTCGGCGGACGCCGAAATTCAAAACAAATTGCTAAAAAATCTCTCTCTCCGAAATTCACACAAGACAGTGAACACAACAAAGAGTTGTTTGGTATTGCTAAAAATCTCTCTGAACACACCCACAGGACGCCAAGTGTGTGTCTTGTGAGCTTGAGCACTTGAGCACTGGATAGGGTCGATTCCGCATGGGTACGGGACCCCTCGATCGTCTCGCCCTCCCTCACTGGTGTGTTCATCGGGGGGGGTCATAACAAACACGGTACAGGATCGAGGTGCACGCTGCCGAAGCAGTGTCGTCCCCTCTCTCCCCGACGGCGATGGCGGTGTGACCGATCGAGCTACAAGAGGAGCTTGGTCAGCATGATCAGGAGTGGTCAGGTGCACTACCTCACTGGGCCTGAGATCACCACACGACGCGTCCATCACCTTCCGGGCTTGTGTGGGTTCGAACCACTCCGGGATGGGCAAGCCCATGCCTGTGCAAAGATCGTGAGCGACGAGACGGTTAATTGTCCAAAATTCCTGTTGTGCAAGAGGGGAGGGGGCTCTGACGGAATGTGTGGCGGGAGAGGGCAGGGAATGGGCGCAGGGGAGGGGGGGGGGGGGGGCTCAGCCGTGCGAAAAGCATCAATTAATAATAGTAATGAAGAAATAATGCTCGGCCGTTCATGAAGTCCGTCTCGATCTGGAGGAGACGGGTCAACCCCGTGAGGACCAGATCAGGTTCACATTGTCGTAGCCGGAGGGGATGTTGACCGTTAGCTCTTGGGGCCACCTTTCCGCTTTGGTTTTTTTCCCACTGACCACTCGGGCAACTTGTGAGCTTGTTTGTGTCTGTGTGTCGCTCGTGCGTGTCGTCATCATCTGTCCAGCGTCCACCCCAGGTCCACCCATACCGCGTTGGTGTCCAGTCCGAGCCTGACTGTTCTTCACCTTCCTGCATACATACACATACCAAGTACAAGACAATAGGAAGGGAGTGTACTCAGGCAGTCAGGGACGGATGAGGGATGAGTCAGAACATACTAAGAGCACCTAAAGGAGCAAGGCATACAGCTGTGAAGTGGTCTCTCCACTGACAGGGGGGGATTCCTAAGTGAATTCACCGAGCGAGGCCATCATCGCATTCGCCTTCCTGGTACCCAGCGCTGGCTTCTGACTGTCGTTGCTGTGTCTCCCTTCTCGACTGTCTGTGCTTGCTAGTGCGTCTTGGGTCCGGGGTTGTGTTTTTTGAATTCATCGGTATCAAAACAACGTCAACGAGCGGCGGCACGCCCGCCTCCGTTGGCCACTCCTACGCCTTCGGCAACACCGAAGAGAACCTTCTCCCACAGAACGGCCACGGCTACGTCAAGCTCAAGGCGCATCGCGGTTTCTACCACGACGCGATCTTTGTCAAGCGCAACAACTTCAACCTGCTGCTCCACGAGACGTTCGGCGGCGGCTTCTCGCCCACCGCCGTTCTCAAGCTGCGCCGCCTCGCGCGCAAAGTCGCGCGCGGCAGCGACTTGAGATCGTGCTTTGCTTGTTTCGTGTTGGGTCTGTCGCGCGGGGTTTGAAAAAGTAAAACCGCCCCCGGCTCAGACTCGCGCGTTTGTTGGCGAGAACGAACTAGGACCTCGTCGCATATGGGTGCCTCGCATCCCACTCAAGACATATATCCACGCCGGTCCCTGCTCCTGCCTCTAAACCCACCCTAAACCTAAAGCCAAAACCAAACCCGAACGCAAACTCAACTCCGCCTCAGCCGAACTCATATAACACGGCCGCGGCTCGTCTGTCCTTCAGGCGGCTGCAGCTCCAAATCCGCCAAGCCGGACGAGACTAGCATCCGGACTGTCAGCGTTTACAAATCGACGCAGCAAGACGAAGTGGGTGTGCGGCTCAGCAACAGCCGCAGCCGCAGCCGCAAAGGCCCTGTCGCGCTCAAACCTGAAAAGTCATTCGGAGAGCGCGTATCGGGCGCGGTGGCTGTCGGAAACGGCCAGCTTCTCGCTGTCAACGGCGAGCCCGTGCACAGCACCGAGCATGCAGCCTCGCTCATCAAGGAGGCGCCGCCTCCACGCTCAGAATGCCACTGTGCATGCAGTCACCATCCCACCCTCCACCCTTGCTGAAAGCGCCGCCCGCCCCTCTCCCTCATTTGACGCGATTCGTGCCGTCTGCAGGCGGAGGGCGAGGTGACCCTGGTCGTGTCAGAAGGAGGCCGAAACCGCCGCAGCAGCTCGTCGGTGCGGGAGGACGAGGAGTATATGCGTCAGCTGCGCGCGGAGAGGCTCCGGCTCGGCCTCCCCGAGAACCCGTCGCCACAGTCCGACACGCGGGCGCAGGACGGCGCGGAGGACTGCGGTGTGGCCTGCGGTGAGCGACGCCTCTACACCGCCCGCCCGCATCGCCACGGACTCTCGCCTCCAGCCTCTGACACATCCTGTCCATTCGAAGCTCACGCGCTGCCCCAAGCCCAACGCCCGCGTGTGCCCCTCAGGACTGTGCCTGTGCCTCCTAACGGGAGAAATGGTGGTATGAAGGAGAGCTGATGAGGCGACCAAAGAGACGACGACGATCCCGATCAGCCAAATTCCAAAAATCTCAGTTTTACACAATTTTTCCCTGAGAGCCTCGACACACGACAGGCTTGGCGCATGGCGGGTATAGCGTATAGTCAGAGTAGTCTCTTAAGGTATCTTATAACGCGACGACGCGTTATTCTTTAAAAACTTGCCTGCCTAGGCAGGAGGCTGCGCCCTGCGGTGCTTACACGGTCTAAGATCAGCGGGAGCCTGCTTCTCGAGTGCACTCTTAACCGCGACGTCTATCCATTTCTCATATTAGCTGCATCCTCAAGCTTAAACAAACGCATGTCGGAGAAGCCTGTGTATGCTGGTCCTGAGTCCTCCTTGAACGATCCGCGCGTTGAGAGTGTAGAGCGACCCTCTAGCCCTGAAGCCGTACATGTACTACCCGACCATTCGATGTTGTGCGTGGGAAGACAAAGAAATCTCAGTTCCCCTTCCCGTGAGCGGGACACAGTGAGGGGTCGCAGTGTTTGTTGGCCACCATATCCCGGATCCCGCCCATTATGCTCACAACGTGTGTGCATGCACATGCACATGCACATGCTACATGCTATGTCCTAGCATACTCTGATTTCAGCCCCGCCGGATGACATGAGTGCAAGCTATAGCGTCAGAGCGCGGGGAGTCGTGCCTGATAAAGCTGCCGAGAGGCTCCGTGGGCAATGAGGACGGCCGCAAAGAAGGGAAGGGCGCCGTTAAGAATCGCAAAGGCAGGCATCCGCTCGTCGCCCATTCGGACGCGGAAGATCGAGTCGCCGCACGTAGCTGCGCAGACAGAGTAGGCCGCTGCGCGTAGCTTACATTTGCAAGAGAGAATGGAGGGCGAGAAGGCTCCGAAGGTGGCGCCGCCCGCTACAAAGAGCGCGACCATGCCAAGCCTTGCGTCCTCCAGCTTGTCGAGCTCATCAACCAGCGCTGCCGGCGAGCGGACGAGGACGTCGACGACACGCAGCGTCGGGGCACACACGACCAGCAGCATCACCGCGCGCGCGACAATGCGAGGCGAGGCTTGTGCCATGTAGGCGACGGACATCGCGGCCACCCCCGCGGCCGCGAACAGGATGACCGGGACGGTGTAGAGCTCGGTCAGGAAGGCGACGCACACCACCACGACGGCGAGCGTGACCTGGATCGGTGCTATCACGCCCAGGCGCGCCGCGAAGAGCAGCGGCGCCGGCGTGGCCGGTGGCGAGGGCGGCACGGAGGCGGAGGGGTCGCTCATCAGCGCCATCAGTTCGTCGCCAGAGAAGACCTCCAAGGCGACTTGCGCTATGTGAGGCGCCGCGCCCTCGAAATCACCTCCGCCGCCGGCCTGCTCTTGACGGTGCTCGAGGAGCGGCAAGGGCAGCGGGGAGCCAGCCTGCAGCTCGCCCGGCGTGTTCATCGGCGCCGTCTCCGTGCTCGAGGCGAGCCGTGCCACGCCCTCACTCCGCACGAGGGGCACGAGGGTGCGGTTGGAGACCTTAAACTTGACGAAGAGCGCGCCGCCCTCGCCCTCGTGCAGATACTCGTCTGGGACCGGCGAGGTCGAGACGGAGGGCGCGATCTCGACCTGCTTTTGCTCGCAGAAGAGGGACGGCTTGCGGGCAGGAAGGCTGTTCAGCCAGGCCGGGTGCTCCTTCCTGCGTGGGTTGGGGGAGGGGGGGGGGGGTGGGGGGTTGGGGTGAAATGCGGGCGCCACACCTCGCTGTACCTGCAATGGGAACGCACGCTATCGGTCGACGCGTAGTCCTTGTCGCACCCGACGAAGCGGCAGACGAACCGGGAGACATAGCGCGGCGCCTACTTGCAGAGGAGCGCGACTGTCCAGTGCAGCCACTCTCGGCGCGAGAACTGGCCCCATGCTATCCGCGAACGCCGAGCCCACCCCCGAACCCGTTGGCCCAATCAACGCCGCCGGATCCGCCGCCGCCGCCGCCGGATCCGCCTCCGCAGCGGAATGCGGCAGAGGCGGGCCGACGCCCGCAAAAACGGCGGAGCTCTGCTCGCCCTCCTCGACGAGTTGGCTCAAGAGCTGTAGGTCCACGAGTACCTCCTCTTGCCCCTCCCGCTCTCGCTTGCGAGCAGTTGGTTCGGCGGCGGCGGCATCGGCGGCATCGGCGGCATCGGCGGCATCGGCGGCGGGCGGCGGCGGCGGCGGCGCCAGTGCCAGGATCACCATTGGCGCTCCGACGTGGTTTTTCATGTTGGACCGCTTGGTGTTGTTGGCGAGGCGAAAGGCCTTGCCATGAAACGCGCCCTCGCACACGCTCCACACGCCGCACGTCTTGACCATGCGCAGGCTGTCCGCCGTGTCTTGGTTCAGCATTCGGACGCGGTCGCACGGGATAGTGAGCTCAGCTCGGCAGCGGCTGCACATCTAAAGAGAAAAAGAGACGGCTGAGGCGAGGCGTGGAGTGGGTATGCAGCGACCGCATGGGAGCGCTGTTGCCTTGCTCGCAAGATGCCCCGCTACATGAGACGCATCGTGGGGCGTCGAGGCGTCCACCGCCGAGGTGTCCGGCGCTGCGCAGCGCGACCGCGTCCCCGAGAGCTCAGCGCCCCAGCAAACACGAATGTCGGCTTCCATGGGAATCTGTGGCGGTGTCGATAGCAAAGCTCGGCCCGACGAACTCAGGCGTCAAATACAGTTGTGGCCCGAATGCGGCGCATGCTGCTGCACGGAGCTGGACGAGAAACCCCCAGCGCTGGACCACGTTTGCCATTTCCCGCGCAGCGAGGATGGCACGGGCGACTGCAGCCTGTACACGCCGCCCTGAGGGCGAATGATCCGACTTCAGGGTGCCGAAATATGCCTTCAGTGGCCACACCCTCCGCCTCATCCTGGTGCCAAACCCTAGACCGGTGAAAGTCCGGCGCAAGCGCAGGTAAACGAGTGCGCGGCCCAGGCTACTAGATCCATGACGTGGGATGCCACGGTCCTGTGCTCATTACCAGGATGGCATGTGCGCGCTCGGCGCGGGCTCGGATGCGTGTACACGCGTCTCGAGAACGCGTTGGCTCGCAAACGGGAAACGCAACGGACGATAAATAGGTAGCGTGACTGTATCCATGACGTGGGAAGCCACGGTCCTGTGCTCATTACCAGGATGGCATGTGCGCGCACGGCGCGGGCTCGGATGCGTGTACACGCGTCTCGAGAACGCGTTGGCGCACTCGGTTTTCATAAATGATAACGAGGCTTTTGTTGTCGTTTTTGGAAACGTGAAACGAGAGTGCTCAATGGCTGCCACGTGCCACCCGCCCAGCGCCCTCACGCACCCGTGAGCGGGACACAGTGAGGGGTCGCAGTGTTTGTTGGCCACCATATCCCGGATCCCGCCCATTATGCTCACAACGTGTGTGCATGCACATGCACATGCACATGCTACATGCTATGTCCTAGCATACCTCGAGGTACTCTGATTTCAGCCCCGCCGGATGACATGCGCTCCACGCCACGCCGCTTGCGGCGGTCCTATTCCCAGCTCGCTGAGGGCCCCTGCGTTATTCCCTCGAAAGGTTGCCTAGCTGCGCTGTCCGCCGCCGCCGCCGCTCCGGCGTCCGCTGGCGCATGGCGGCGGCCGCCTCCGTCGACTGGCCGGTGCTCGACATCCTGCAGGATGACACGGAGGATGCGGCCGCCGACTCGAGGCCTCCTGGCGAATCCCAGGCTCCACTGGGACCGCTGGACGAGCGTGGTGACATCAGCAGCCTATCGCCACGCGAGTGGGCGTACATGTGCTGCCTGCTCGATCCGGACGACGGCCAGGCGCCCGACGCAGGCTATTCGCAGCTGCGCGTGAAGGCGCTCGACGAGCACCCGCACGCACGCGCCCGTCGCTCGCCCTCCAGCCGGCTCCGCTCTGCGGCCGATGTCCTCAGAGACGCGCAGGCGCGCCGCCTCAGCTCCATCCTCGCAAAGGAGGCGACGCGCGTGGAGGAGCTGAAGTCCGAAGGACGGGCCCCGGCGCGAGCGCGTGACGCCGATGCGGGAAGCTCCTGGTCACCCCACCCGACTGCCGCTGCGCTGTCGCCGACGCTTCGGCGTGATGACGCCGACGGCGCCGCCACCGCGCTCGCAGCCCTCGCCGCCTGGCATCGGCACTCGGTGGCGATGGCGCAGAGCCCATCAGCAGAGGCGCCGGTGGGGATGCGGCTCGCCATGTCTCTCCTCGCCACCGCGTGCACCCACGGCGGCGGTGAGGCGACCCTCGTCCAGTCGATGGCAGACTCGCTGGCCGTCGAGCAGGCTGACCCTCGGCCCGCCGCGAGGAGCCGCGTCTCGCACGCCTGACCCCGCGCTCCCGGCTGGTCAGGCGCTCGACCTTTGCGCTCCCTCCGACATCCCCGAGGGCCTGCCAGGCGCGACCACCGTCCCGGCCGGCTGCGTGCGCGCCGCGCCGCTCGAGGCGATGGACAGGCTCGCGCGCGACGGCGCCTCTCCGCCGCCGCTCCGCATCGCCGCGCTGGAGGTGCTGCTGTGGATCGCGCTGCGCTCGGGCCTGACCGAGGCGGCGCTCCGCGCGGCCTCGGCGGCGCACGACGCGCTCTCCGCCGGCCTCCTCTCCGACGAGTCGACCTTTTCGCGCCGGCTGAGCGGCGTGCTCGGCCGCTTTGCCCGCCGCCCGCCGCTTGCGCTCCAGCCGCCCGAGCCGGACGGGCTGCGCTCGGACCCGCTGCACACGTGGGCGACGCCGCTGCTGCGCGTCGACGCGTCCGAGCCGAGCAGCGCCTCCGGCGGAGCCTCCGCGCTCGTCAGCCACGTTGAGGACGTGCCCCGCTCGAGCGCCCGCGCGGCGATGCATGGTTGCGGGGAGATGCACGACGGGTTCCACGGAGACCCGGACCGCGGCTTCCACTTCTGGGTCTACCCTCGCGGCATGAGCCTGAACGCGTCGCGCTGGGACACGCACGAGAGCCCCGGCGCCTTTTGCTCCAACTGCAGGCTCGTCACGGTGCACGCCAACGGGATCGTCGAGTACGTCTGCATCGGCCACCAGTCGGAGGCGCTCCTCTGCCTCGAGCCGCTCTGCTCTGGCCGGCACTACTTTGAGCTGTCGCACGACGAGGAGGGCGGCGACGAGCGCGGCTTCTGCAAGTTCGTGCGTGGCCTCGGCGTCGTCACCGGCGATGCGGCGGCCGCGATGTGCGGGGCGCCGTCGGCGGACGTCGTGACGCAGTGCGCCATCAACGACCAGATCCAGGCCGGCGCTGTGGGCGTGGTGCCTCCGGGCGTCGGCGCGGCCAACCTGCCCGCGAAATGGCGCGCGGCGTCTCCGCTGAGCTTGGCCGGCCTCACCGACAGCCGGTGGCGCAGCTGCCGCGCGCTCGGCCTCCTCGTCGACTTGGACCGCTCGGTGGCGCACGTCACCGTAGATGGCGCGGCTTGCGGGTCGGCGCCGCTGCTGCTGCCGAGGCCGCTCTACGTGTACGCCCTCTTCGCCGACCGACCGGGCTGCGCCAGGCTGTCGCGGCTGCCCTACCTCTCCCGCGCCACCGGCTTGAGTCAGGACTCGGCGCTCCAAGGCAGCGGCGCCATCAGTTTCGTGCCTTGCGACGGCGGGTCGAGGGTGGAGGCGGTGGAGCTGATGCCCGACGGGTCGGCGGCCTGGCTGCTCCAGAGCCGGCGCGAGCGAGGCGAGCGCGCCCGCTTCCGCAGCACCGAGCGGCTGCCCGGCGGCGAGAACCACTGGCTGGTCGTCGCGCTGCCCTCCACCTCGCCGTCGACGCTCCACTGCCTCGTGGGCACCACCGACCTGCCGAGGGGGGGCGCCGAGCCGCTCTCGCCGCTGCCAGCCGGTGGGAACGCCGACCTGCAGGAGGACCCGTCGGCTGCGAGCCCCACGGGCCCGCTCAGCGAGGAGAGCGAGATGGGTATCGAGACTCCGGGGACCGAGAGCGACGAGAGCAGCGGCCACGAGGGCCTTCGCTACGGCGGCGGCGGAGCGCCTCGGGCGG